AAGAAAGGGGAAAGACTGGAAGGCAGAAGGAGTGAAAAAAAAAAGTCACGGAAGGAAGTAAACTGAGGACAGAGGGAAAGGTGGAAGGGAGAAAAGGGGGAGGAAAGAAGGAAGGGGGAGAAGGGGGAGGAAAGGGCAAAGGGAAGGTGGGAAGGGAGTCAGGGAGGATCATAGAAGAAAGGAGTTATTGAGGAAAGAAGAAAAGAAGAAAAACTATAACAGCTAACAAAAGAAGTCAGGAAGGGAGTGAAGTGGGCAAGGAGGAATAGAAGAAAGCAGAAAGTCAAGAAGGCAGGGAAATGGAACTGAAATAAGTACATAAAGTGAGGACAGGGCAAGGGAGGGAGGGGAATGTGAAAGAAGGAAAGCAGGGAGGCAGGTAACACATTTGTAGATCCTGTACATTATTTTTGCAAGTTCCGTGCAATTCGACTGTAAATAAATTACAGGTTGTCATGATCTAGGGAAATGGATGCTCATCAGAAGTAATCATAGAATCATAGAATGCATTAGGTTGGAAGGGAACTCTAAAGGTCATCTAGTCCAACCCCCCTGCAACAAGCAGGGACATCTCCAACTAGGTCAGACTGCTCAGAGCCTCATCAAGTCTGACCTTGAATGTCTCCAGGGATGGGGCCTCCACCACCTCTCTGGGCAGCCTATTCCAGTGATCTGTCACCCTCATATTGAAGAACTTTTTCCTAACATCTAACCTAAATCTACCCTTTTCTAGCTTAAAGCCATTACCCCTTGTCCTGTCACTACAAACCCTTGTGAATAGACCCTCCCCTGCTTTCTTGTAGGCCCCTCTCAGGTACTGGAAGGTCTTTATAAGGTCTCTCTGGAGCCTTCTCTTCTCCAGGCTGAACAACCCCAACTCCTTCAGCCTGTCTTCACAGGAGAGCTGCTCCAGCCTTCTCATCATTCTTGTGTCTCTCTGCTGAACACGTTCCAACAGGTCCACATCCTTCTTGTGCTGGGGACTCCAGAGCTGGACACAGTATGGAGGTAGAAGGGATAGTAGGTAGGGAATAAAAGGAAATGTGATAATCACGCTGCATAATCTTATCTTCCACCAAAATCAACTGGCTTTAGGTAGGTGGACAGGACACCTAGCCCAGATAAGGAACATGTAATTTCTGTGTGATAAATAGCCAAATGCCTCATCATACAATTAGTGATGTACATCAATGGGTGAGTAAGATTCCCACTGTCCTTACTTAGCCAGTGAAACCATAACCCAGAGAGCAGCCTTGGAGGAACCAGCAGGGGAAGAAGACCCTATTGAGCATGACTCTAGTCTGGCACTGTGAAGAGACATCAGAAGTGTAGAATAAATAGGAAGCCCCACAGTAGTGTAACTCAAGACATGGATCAGTTGCCAGTGAAATACTACTGGCCATTTTCTCCACTTACAGAGCGAGGCTGGGGGGAGAGAAGGGGGAGCCCCAAAGGGCTCTTGCAGCTGATGCCAAGTGCCTGGCACAACCTGGTCCAGGGACAGTGTCAGGTGAGGAGTTTGACTGGGGCAATACACCTGTCAACCTGTCACACAGATGACCAAAGGCAAGCTCAGCTAGGACAGAAACCTCCTGCAGAGCAGAAGATCAAGGCTTAGCCTTATTTTTCAGTACAAATATTGTCCATGAAAGAGGGGCCTCACAATCCTTCTGACTAAAAGCCTTTTGGGTTTTAAGCAGGCATCCAGGAGACAGTGGGTGAGGAACTCCAGGCACGAGTCCCCGCATCTCCACAGCTCAGACATCAAGGATGTTCTGCTTTGTCCTCCAACAACTTAGGGAATTCAGGGTGTTCCTGGGAGGACTGTTCACACTGGGGAAGACAAGGCTGTCTGGGAAGCCTCACCACATCTCTCCTCCTAGTGGCCCTGAGGACAGGGCCCAGAGAGGTGTCACTCCAGTTGTGGGACAGGGAACCTATTTGCCATGCTGGGGGAGCAGAGTTGGGCCTTCCACCATGGCAGATTCTGGGGTTCAGCCAGAAATGCAGGGGTAGGAGGAAGAAGGGCAGAGTGGGAAGTGATAAAATCTGTCCTCTCTGCCTGGTTTGTCCCTGGCAGTTGTCCCTTGCCCAGCATCCCATAACAACCCCTCATCCCTTCCACATGATACCCAAGGCCTGAGAAGAGCAATGTATCTCCAGAACAAACCCACAAACCTCCAAATAAACCCTCAAGCCCCAAAAGCCATCCCACAGCTGCCTTCCGCTGGGCACCAGATGTTACCACCTTCATCAACATGCAAGGCTTCTGTCTTGCACCTGCTCCCAGAAACACCACCCCCATCGCTGTGCTGTCTGGCCCCTGCCCTCCTTCCCATCCCTCCCCATGGCTCCTGCTGGTCTCTGAACTGCTGAGGAAGGAGAAGCCACTTTGCAGGGCAGACTGCACAGCCTGACTGACAATTCCAATCCCACACCAGTTTCCCAAATAACTCCTGGGATGAGCACATCCAGGTCACATCCTCCTTGCTCAAGAATGTCCTGCTCTCCCTTCCCACCCATGTTCCCCACAAACAACAAGGAAGCTTGTGCTAGAAGAAAAATGTTTCTTTTTTAAACAGAATTTTTTTCAACTCCTGTTCCTCAGGGCTTTTTTTTTTTTTGCAAAGATAAAGTATTATCTGAACAGCATCTGCATATATATATATTTATCTCACATATATGTGTGTATGCATATATTCATACACTTAAAAACAGCCCTGAAAACTTGTGCCACTCATAGCAGCTCATTCTACTTCATAACAGAAAAGACAACTACTCCAATAAACAGCAAAAAAAGTTGTCCCCTTCAACTAGAAGAATGCACTGAACCACATCCAGCTGCAGCTCCAGAGGGAATGCCACCATCTCCAAATGGGAGGCTTTGACTTGAGTGTAATCACATCACTTTACAATATTGCTAGATGCTGGCTGGATTAGGCAGTACCACACTCACCTACATCCACTCCTTGGGGAAAGTACACCCAAAGACACTGAACAGTCCTTCAACAGGTGGCAAGCAATCCTCACTTTGCAGCTGGACTGTGACTTCCTAACTCAATTAGATACTTAAGGGCAGAAACTGAGACAACAGAGAAAGGCAAGGAGATGTCTTTCTGAGAGATGTGGACACAGTAACACAGTCCACTGTCCAGAACAATGTTTCTGCATGTTAAAGAGGAGTCACTGAGCAAGTAGCCTCCAGAAGAAAAGTCTCTTCACTCTATCTGAACACTCCTCAATGTCTTTGAGGAAAGATACTAAAATAAACCAAACTGGTTGAGACAGAGCAGAGGCAGAGGTCCGGGCTGGCAGCCTGGTTGACAGCCCAGTTCTAGTCATAGGCATCATCATCATCAAAGTAGGAGTCACAATCAAGGTTATCTGACTCGTCATCAAACAGAAAGTTGTCTTCATCAAGGTCGTCGTCATCATCATCATAGTCTTCCTGCCATTGGGATTCATACTCCTCAACTTCAACCTCTTTGCCAGCTTCGTCTGTGTTGCAAGTGTCACAGAAGTTGGTGCATTTTGGCCTATTGAGAAGAACATCAGAGTGGAGTCCTGGCTGGAAGCAGCAACCACAACCCAGCCCCACATCCCTCTTGTCTTCCCTACTACCACCACCTCAGCCATGCCTCAGGGACAGAGCAGCCATGCAGGTGCACCTAGGAGGTGATGAAATGGCCTTATCTATGCATGCAGCACAGGGCTGTGTCCAAGAGCCACGTGTGGCTGGGTCAACAGGCTGCTGTCTGCCACCAGCTCTGGTGTCTCAGCTTCATTCCAAAGAGACCAGAAACCCTGCTCTTTCTGAAAGACACTGTCTCTTGACCCAGTTGTGATTCTTTCTTGCCACACCCAGCACCCTGTTCAGCTCCTGGAAGCACAGAGGGGATTGGTCACACTGGGATAGCAGATGCCAGTTGTGTTTCTGGGCTTAAACAGCATGGCATTCAGATGATGACTTTGTTTCAAACTCATCATCTTCCAGTGACACTTAACACCTGCCAGCTCAGTGCTCTAGGGCAAGGAAACAAACCATCCATTTCACCTCCCAACGTACTATTTTACAGCTGAGTCACCTCTTCTCCATTCCCTTCTTAAAATAAATGTCAGGCCCTTCCATGTCTCCCCATGTCTGTTCTTCTTCTTGCTTCTCTCATCTAGACACCCCCTAGATCTCTGATACACCTCTGAAGAAAGAGTGGGACATTCCACAGAAGCCCAAGAGAGTCCAGGGAGAGCAACTTCCATAACTGGGTCTGCCACTGATAGGGCTTTCTTGACCATAACTGCATACTAAGCAGAGGTTTTGCCCTACCTCACTATGTCACTTATATTGTTACTGCAAACAACAACACAGGATGCAAGTAATCAGTTATCTATTATTAACTCTTTTGTATGTCACTGTGCACAGGAGAAAACTCTGGTCACCTGCTTTTTGTCTGTATTCACCCACTTTTCCTTATTACCCTGCTAAGAAAACTCACCCTATACAGGCAGGGGCTGAAGAAGGCACATTTGAGAGTTTCCCCTTTCTCTGACCAGGATCTGCCAAAGTCTGGAGCCCAACATGGAAATCCTGCTAGTATGGAAGAACAGCCAGAAGAGAGAGACAATATGCAGTTTGGGGGGTATTTTGTGCTGCAAACCCCTTCCCAACACACACACAGAGCACTGAGAGTCTGTCCCCTCAGCTGATCCAGTCCCTTCTAGGTCTGCCCAATGTCAAACTACAAGAGCACAGCAAGACAAGCCACCAGGAGGCCTGTGAACTTCACCTGTGCGGAGTGCCAGAGGATTGCGAAGAGCCGCTCCTCGATGCGGCGCAGCAGCTCCAAGCCAGCGCCCAAACGCTCTGCTGGCAGCAGCTGGAGAGCAGTGGCCACGTCCTCGTACCGCAGCAGGCTGTCCTCTGCAATTCAATCCAACAGAGTCCTCCTGCTTTCTACACTCTTAAGCACAGGCCGAGTCCCTTGGCTCTGATTACGGAGCTAGTCACAGCTACTTAGGTCTCCCATGCACGTATGTTCCTCTATCAGAATAGAACGTGCTGTTCCTTACTGCACCTATCTCCACCAACAGCCAAATTGATCCAGTGGACTTCCCCGAAATGACACCAAGAAGGCAAAATTGGGCTTGAAGAAGTGAGCGACACCAGCTGGGTGCTGGTGTGCATGCTGCTGGCCCGCTACAGAGCTGCCACCCTTTGAACCAGACAGCTGGGAATGCTCACCCCTGCTTTGGAGAGGCTGCGGGACTTACCCAGCAGGATCTGCAGAGCATTAGTGTGCAGCTCCAGGCTCTCAGTCTGCTGTTCCACAGCATCCATGCTCTCAGTGTCCTGGGTATAATAGCTGTACACACAGGAGTAGGCCAGCACCTGAAGCAGTACAGATCACAGTGCTCAATACAGATCAGGAAAGCATCCTCCTTCAGCTTCAGCATGGGCAAGAGGAGAGAGCAGCCAACCCTTCTAGGCTTCATGACCTACCAGTGGCCGAGAGAAGCCTGGCAGTGCTCATGGCCTGTGCTAGTAGCCCAGCGAGCCATTATGCCGAGTGACAGCAGTGCCAGGCTGCCTGCAGCTACTCACAGGATTGGAAGTAAAGCTGTAATTATTTTGTACTGAAGCCCAAACTAACTGACTGTTCCCACCTGCAAGCCTTCAAAAGAACACAGACTGTAAATGCCTAAGTGTGACTGATCAACAGGCAGAGTCAAAACAAGCAGCACACAGAATCTGCACATTGTTGGGCAGTGGCTGCACTGTAAATCCTTCATAATGTGGCTACCAGGGCATGCAGCAGGTACCTCAGTGCTCCCAAAACACCTATGGCTCATGAATTGAAGTTAATAAAGGAAAATCATAGCATAAGCATCAAGAGGGACTTCTTAACCGTAACACAGCATCAGGAGAGCTTTCAAAGGGTAAGTACCACCACTGGGGCATTTTAAAATGGAATAGACCAACACAGTGTATGAAAAACCTAAATATAGATCCTTGTGCTGATTCCAAGGTGTCTCCAAATCCTACGACCTGACTGTGAGGAGCACTGCAGACAGAGCCCAGCTCACAATGACAGCAGAGAAAGGCAGACATGAGCTCTTCCCTTGTCTTGATGTCATTCCTTCCCTTAAGCTTTTTCCATCTCCCCTTTTTTGGAGTAGAGCAAGGCCAGCATCTCCTCACTTAACGGCAGGCATAAAACAAGCCAAAAGAATTAGGCCTAAACATCAGCCAGCCTGTTATCCAGCCTTACCTTCCGCGCCCGTTCTAGCACTTTGCAGGCATCAAGAACAAAGGTCGAAGTCCTAATATTTGTCATCTCACGGATGGAAGAAACCCTGTTCCTCAGGCTCACAGCAAATTCCTACAATAATCAAAGGAAATTAAAAAAAAGTCAATGTCAAGTTCCACAAGATCAAAAAAATAGCACTTTCCACAGAGGTAATTGCTAAGTATCCTGAAGTACCCTCCCAGAAGATGAAGGCAGCAAGAGAGCATTTTCTGCATTCAACTATGACATTTCTATTGTGCCATCACTTCAACCTTTTCAAGTATCTCAGCTGTGGACAGAGCTCAGTTTTCAGTCATAGAATCATCAAGGTTGGAAAAGACCTCTAAGATCATCAGGTCCAACACCACCCAACACTACCATGACCACTAAACTTTGTCCTGAAGTACCATGTCTACGTGTTTTTTGAACACCTCTAGGGATGGTGACTCCACCACCTCCCTGGCCAGCTTGTTCCCGTGCCTCACTACTCTTTCAGGAAAGAAATTCTTCCAAAGAACCAATCTAAACCTCCCCTGGTGCAATAAGCTCATTTTCTCTTGTCCTCTTGCTAGTCACCTGGGAGAAGAGACCAACTCCCACCTCACTATGACCTCCTTTCAGGGTGTTGTACAGCACAAAAAGGTCTCCCCTCAGCCTCATCTTCTCCAGACTAAACAATCCCACTTCCTTCAGCCACTCCTCATAAGACATGTTCCCCAGATGCTTCACCAGCTTTGCTGCCCTTCTCTGGACCTGCTCCAGCATCTCAATGTCCTTCCTATCCTGTGGTGCCCAAAACTGAATCCAGTACTGAAGCTGTGGTCTCACCAGTGCCAAGTCCAGGGGCACGATCACTTCCCTACTCTGCTGGACACACTATTTTTGATCCACGCCAGGATGCTGTTTGCCTTCTTGGCCACCTGGCTCATGTTCATCTGTCTGTCCACCAACACCCCCAGGTCCCTTTCTGCCTGGCAGCTTCCAGCCACTCCTCCCCAGGCCTGGAGCGTTGCCTGGGTTTGTTGTGACTCAAGTGCAGGACCCGGCACTTGGCCTTGTTAAACCTCATCCAGCTGACCTCAGCCCACTGTTTCATCTCCCTCTTCATCCTGGTTGGGTGGTCTGTAACAGACTCCCACCAGGATATCTGCCTTGTTGGCTTTCCCCTTCATCCCTGCCCATAAGCACTCAACCTTACCATCCCAGCTGTTGAGCTCTATATAGTCAAGATACTCCCTAACATACAGAGCCATCCCACTGTCTCTCCTTCCCCTCCTGTCCCTGCTGAGGAGCTTGTAGCCATCCCTTACAGCACTCCAGCTGTACAAGTCATCCCATCGTGTTTCTGTGATGGTGACCATGTCACAGTTACTCTGCTGCTCCTCCTGGCTTCCAGCTCCTCCTGTTTGTTACCCATGCTTAGTGCATTGGTGTAGATGCACTTGAGCTGGGCTGTCAATTTCATCCCCAACACCCGAGTGTTTCCCCTGGGCTGATCTCTAAGGAGCCTGGTTTTATCCCCTTCCCCCTTCAAACCTTGTTTAAAGCCCTCTCAGTGAGCCCTGCCAACTTACGGGCAAGAATCCTTTTCCCCCTTTGAGACAGTTGACCTGCTCCCATTTCCCCCCCATCTCTCAGGTCCCCTCCCTCCGCCCAGCGACAAGAGGGCAGGGGACCCTCTGCCTCTTGTGGGTCCTCCAACTGCTGCTTTTGCCTCAGGGTGTGGCTCCACCAATCTATGTCCCTCTCACACTCCCTGATACTCCTTAACCTTTCTACTTCCTCTTTCAGCTCTGCCACCAGGCTGAGCAGATCAACCCCCTGGTCACCCCCCACACAGGCTGCCCTCTGGGAGGGGTGACAGGCTCAGGCACTCCCTGCAGAGACCTGCACAGCTACATGTCTGTGAGGGAGCTCTCTCAGGGTCATTGCTTCCAAGAACTGCACCAGTTTCAGCACATGAACACCACAAGTTAGGTGTTCAGTTCTCACAACAGATTTGGTAGAAGAAACCAGGCCAAGAACTATCCCTTAGAGCAAGGGTGAGAGGACCAGGCATCCTCACCTGGATCCAGAACTTGCTTCTCAGCTTCAGGTGAAATACATTGAGACACAAGAGAAAGGGTCCTGGCTCACCAGGGATAAGGCAACAGTCAGCACCTGCAAAGGAAGGAGGAGGTCTTACCTTTGCATGATGATGAAAGGTGCACCTCTCGTTGTAGTCCTGAAAACGCTTCTCCTGCCAAGCTGCTTTACTCACCTGAAAGGAAAGGCAGAAGTAACCTGGAGCCATTTCTGTCAGGTACCAGGATTGCCTGGAAATGGCTACCACAAGTACAGACTTTGACAATACCATCAATGTTACTGCCAAGTGCACAAAGCCCAGAGTAACAGGCACAAGTGGAGATCCTCACCCTCTCTCTGAGAGGCCAGCTGCATCTGAGCACAAGCATAAACCACTCACCATAGCAGAGCAGTTGTAATAATCCTTATGAGTCGGCCTCCAGGGCTTGAGGCAGCGCCAACAGAAGCCGTGATTGCACTTTGCACACGTCATACTGCATGGCAGGAGAAGAACAACGGGAATCACTGAGTCCTAACAGCCACTGGCAGACAGTTCCTCCCAGTGCTCCCCTTCATCCCAGGGCTGGAGTGTGCAACCCAGTCACTGCTACTTGCTCAGCATTTTCCTGCATGTACTTTTTTTAAAGCCTTTGCTGGGAACAGACAATGGTTAAAACCAGTCCCTGTGTTTCCAAAAACGAGCTGGGTCAGCCAGCAGCACAATCTCATAGTATCAACGTGCCGAGCACTTGAAGGCTGAACTAAGCATTCTACAGACTGAAGACTGAGCCCCTCACCTCTTCCCTCAGTAATGCAGCACTGCACAGTGCAAAAAGGCACTGAGCAGCCCCAGGGCTACTGGCAACGTGTGGGTACATATCACAGCTGGGCACCAAGGGCTGTGCCAGTGCAGGAAAGAAACAAATGGTGACTCCTAAGCCCTGGCTTCAAAGCCTGGAAGTAACTCCCCTATCATGTAAAAAGGTACCAGAGATCCAAGTCAGTTCAAAAGAGGTAGTTAAACTGCTTAAAGTTACAAGAATAGTTGAGTATGAGAGAAAAAATGATGCTGAGCTATCCACTCCCATAACCTGTACCTCTCTCTGTATGTCAACATTCACAGATGGTTAGCAGGTTCTGAGAGCAGACAAGCATGTGCTGTAAAAAGGTACTCAGTTCTGCTGTGGAGCTATCAATGGATTTAACTCAGAAAGCTGGGGAACATTTTGCTTTTCCTAGGAATTAAAAGCAATCATTCATTCTTCTAAAACTATAAAACAGGCCTGCTGCACTTCTTACTCCAGAGCCAAAAATATAAAAATAATGCACAATGGACTGTGTGTCTTTCAGTCTCCTTTAGCAAATGAAACCAGATACTCACTGCAGGCACCCCTCATTTTTCTCTATTTGAGCCTGGCAGCTTGGGCAGTGCTTCGAAATGAGCTTAGCCAGATGTTTGCTTTGGGCTTCACTTGTCATTCCCTCATAGTACCCATCATCATCCACCCACTGAGACATGTGGCTGCAGCTGGCAGGATAATGGGCCTGAAAAAGACAACCAGTCAACCACACAAAAGCAGAGTGGCATGTGCCAAACCAAGACAGCATTGACCATGATTCAGCTCAGCCTCACCTCTGGGAAGTTGCAGTTGAAGCAGGATATCCAGGAGCACTTGGAACAGGCTGCCCCATAGCCAAGTCCATCTTTAAGGAGGATCTGATCGCAACCCTGAGGGTTTGTGCACCACGTCAGATTGGAGCAACACTCAACAAAGCCTCTGAAGAGGGCGTTTTCATACTGCAATAAGAAACCAGGAAGGAGATTTAAGGCAGAGAAGCTGCAAGGTTAAGCCTTACAGCTGGGGTCTGGTGCCTCTGGACTCTAACTCTGACTGAAAAATTGCTCACAACAAAACAGCACAAAGTTGCAGGTCCAAAGAAGAGCAATGAAGCTGGTGAAGGGCCTAGAGAACAAGTCTAATTAGGAGCGGCTGAGGGAATGGGGGCTATTTAGTCTGAAGAAGAGAAGGCTGAGGAGAGACATCATTGCTCTCTACAACTACCTAAAAGGAGGTTGTAGTGAGGCTGGTGTTGGTCTCTTCTCTCAAATTACTGATGATAGGACAAGAAGAAATGGCCTCAAGTTGCACCAGGGGAGGTTTCAGTTGGATATTAGGAAGAATTTCTTCCCTGGGAGAGTGGTGAGGCATTGGAACGGGCTGCCCAGGGAGGTGATGGAGTCACCATCCCTGGAGGGGTTCAAAAAACGAGCAGACGTAGCACTTGAGGCTGTGGTCTAGTGGTTAGGGAAATGGTGGGGTGTAGGTTGGACTTGATGATCCTGGAGGGCTCCTTCCAACCACAGTGATTGTATGATTCTATGCCTGTATGTGTGACTCCTCACGAGGCATTAACACTCCAGCCATACCACATACTGAGTAAAAAGGGAAAGGACACTTCAGCGGGACCATCAGAGCAACTTGTTAAAACTGGCTGCAATTTATGTTGACCTGCAATAATATTTTTTAATATGCTAGACACAGCAATAGAATATTAAACCCTGCTCTCAGACAGGTGTGATTACAGGATCTCCAAAGCCAGTAAGAGCTAACTGCTCAGAAACATGCACTAATTCTCCAAGCACTTCTAGAAAACAAGGTATAAAAGATATATTGAAGGAAATGCTTTTTTGTAGCCTTCCCGTTTTGCTTGTCAGTTCGCAAGCTTCCAGAAAAGCTGTGAGATAGATACAGTGGCCTTTATAGCTACTGTTCATTTCTCCTTGTGATTGTCCACACAGGATCATAATGACAGTAATGGGCTGGAAGAGGAGGAGAATTATTTTTGGAGAAGGAACTACTGGTAGAGACCTGTCAAACAACAGCTCAGTGGAAAACAGATGAGACACCTGTTCTGTCCAGCAATTAACAAAAAGAGTCTGTCATGTGACAGCCACAGCTCTGCCATCAGGTGGGGAAGGCATTCAGCTTTAAGTAATAAGCAAAAATTGAAAGAATAGGGAGAAAAAGTAGCTTCTGCCTCAGAACGAGCAGCTCCTGCTTCCCCTGCCGACTGAGGACTAAGGAGAACAGAGCTCAAGAAGCCTGGTTTAGAGATGTCTGCAGACCCACAGACTCAGAGTGAAGATTAAGTCTGACGTGGTAACTTCTGCCATCCTCGCAGAAACCTGAGGTGCTCAAAGCCAGACTGACAGGAGAAAGGATATTTGGGTCATTGATGCAGTGATAAAATGAAATTGCTCAAGTGTTTTTCTCTTCATGCATCCCAGATTTTACAATCACTTCCATCCAGCACACCAGTAGAGGATGCTTTTAGTAGAGGATCTGCTACCACAGCTCTCACCTGGTCCTCAACTAAGGATGTACCTGAAATGTTGTTTGCTGGAGACATGTTTAGAGGAACTACCACTGTGCTCTTTAGATATTACCCTTTCCTCAATAACTGGTATTGTTCATGGCCAGAGACAACAGACACCACCTGCGAGAAATCTGCTCTGCCTCAATTGTCACACTGCCAATCTTAGTAATAGGAAGGGGAAAAGCAGCAGCGAGACTATCTGCTAGTGCTGACCAAAATGAAACAGAACCACCTCTCCTACTTCACCTTGGCTATGATCTCCTCAGAGGAAACAATGGAACAAATGAAGGCTGTCGTTGGCTGCGCGTGGCACTCGGATATGGGGCAGGTGCAGCTGACAATCATGCTCTGCTCAATGCGGGTGGTGAGGTACTCCTTCCAGCAGGGCTGCGAAGGCAAGAGGAGAGATCAGAGCCCATCAGGAGCTGCACCACAAGGGTCATGTCAGCCTGGAAGCCCACCCCACCCAGCAGAGGGTGCACGAAACCACCACTGAATGGGGGTAAGTACTCAAAAGCAGGAACAGACTAACCAGGAACTGAAGGATCACAACAAGGGAGCTGAGAAAAGAGAATGTATGAGCTTTCTGAAAACCACCTGATAACAGCTTCAGACAAAGAATGACTGCTGCAACTAAGCAGCAGCAATTCTCTACCAAGTTACAGGAGCCAACAACCAAAGACCTTCACCTTGCAGCAGTAGTGCATGCAGCAGAGCATTGGTGGCTTCTCAGTGGGACACAGCTGGTTCACACAGACTGGGCAGGGGGTCCCTGGGCTGGGCGGGGGCTGGGCGTTCTGTACTTGCAGCCCCGAGGAGATGAGCAGAGCTTCACGGTTCTCCACATAGCGCTGGATCAGGAAATCCACATTCCACCTGCAGTGCATGAGGAGGTGCCGAGCAACATCATTTGAGATGCTCAGGGTATCCTGGACCTGCTGTACTGTCTGGTTCATGAGCAGCTTGGCCTCTTCTGGACTAAGGGTGTGCCCCATTGGCACCTGCAGCATTGCCATGAGAAACTCCTCCGACCTGCCTATTCCAGGATTCAACCTGACATGGAGAAATGTGTCATGTCCATTCAAGGTAGAGATACACAACCCTCCACCCCTGCAGACATGAATCCCTACCTGTACAGGCAGTCTATGCTGTCCTCATCCAGAGATGCCTCTGGTGGCCTGCTCTGGAAAAGCATCTGTGCCTGGCCCCCAAGAGGCACTGTGGGTTCAGTAGAGATGTATTCCAAGACATGAGGCCTCTCCTCC